TCATTAAAGGATATCCTAATAACAGCTAAGCTTTCAGGTTAGAAGATTTAAAAGTGCAAGCGAATGGCTGGAGTCGTTCAAGCTATCAACACCTTTTGCTTTCCGGCTTACCAGGTGTGTTGCCGTGCGCATTGTAGAGTTATTCATTGGACAAGTGATTCCGTTCATAGCTCAAATTTAACTGTCCTTCATTCAATGATCAAGATAGTAGATTTACCATACAACACTCGCGATAAGTTAATTTCCCTTTACTTAGGAAAGTAGATTTACAACACAATTGAGTATATAGTAGTAACGCTGTGTAACGTAACAATAAGCCTTTTCTCGGCCATAATTGGTCTCAAACACCCGCACTTAAAATGCGGGAAACACATGTACCGTTGGAGAACGTTTGAGAGCGTTTGGTCAGAGCTGTTAAAGAAGGATCAAAGCAGCCATCCAAATCTTTGGAAGGCTCCAAACTACGACGTACATCAAATTTGACCTTCTTGAAATCCGGTCTCAAATTACATACAAAAAAACAGTGATCACGTTTGTCCTTGAGAACCAAAGAATACGCGACAAATACGAACAAAAAATACTTTTATACATTCAGAATAACTCAAATTACATTTACCTATGGTGAAAGGAAAACGGAACGGCCTAACTTTTACGAAATGTTCAGTCAAAATCTGCCGAATTTTGCTGCTTTCACCGCCATATTCAAAGTGAAGCTACCACAATGCTACGCAATCGGAGTGCGCACACCGCCTGGGTTGTCCTATCCCCGGACAAGGATCTCGATGTCTATGGCACAGCTAGTAATCCTATTTACTCTGAATTTGGCGCCGACCATGAAGCTACGGTCAGGAGGTCTAATTTCGGTACAAGTTTGTTCAGCAACCATGGGAAAGAAATCGAGATCAGAGCGAATGATGCTAAGAAAAGCAATGGAAGTATGGCAGTAAATAAGATCTCTTTGGAAGATAACAGTGTGGTCAAAATGAAACATGATGGCAAGGAGACTGGTACAAACCAGGGGCGTGAAAACAAAGGCCAAACCGTTCTTGTTTGAGAAGACGGCGAAGAGATTAACAAGGCGTCTGAGCTATGAATTACACTGGTTTAAAAATGCTGCGAAATAAGTAGCAATGCCCATAATTTAAATTTCACAAAATTGAACAAACTCCTAACATGGTTTCCATCCAAAAATATGGACTTTTTAATAACAAACAAAACCATAAAATAATTTAGCTAAACCTCGCCCTTTCGTTATTGTGTGTCGCAATTAGAGCTAACTAGATCTTTTAGAAAAATATAATTAAAAATGTGAAACTA